TCGATTTCTGCTCCCATGGCCTACCACGCCTTCCATCCCTCTGGGGTCGACAAGTTTGTAACGGACTTGTCTGGAAGTGTAGCAGCACTGGATGGATACATCGGTAGGCCACTGCGAGCCATTTTAAAGGCCAGATATGCATTCGATCACCTCCGAACGGCGCTTAATGAAGTCGATTGCATGGCGCATCCACTAAATTGACCAATGCCGAGAGTTTTATCATTTTTTATATGTGCATATATATATATATATATCTGTGCCATAAAACAATATAACCAGTATTACAGTAGTAGCTAAACCAAGTTACAGCTTCTTCAAAATAACCTTGAAGCGTTGAGCTCATTAACCTCACCGCGAGAACGACGGTAGTATTTTAATGGTTCGCTGGTGTTAGTGCACATGTAATCTATAAAAGAAAGTGTCAAATATAGCGAATGTTAGAAAACAGCTGGCCCATAAACCTAAAACATTAAACAATCCGCTGTGTTTCAGCGAGAATCAACTCCCAGGCTGGTCAAAAAATTATTTGCGAATTTCAGTCGCGAGAAGTTACTCGTCGCCCCAATCCTTTTCCTCGGAGACAACTAAACTTCAAATTTGGTGCCCATATGACATCTCATTCCATGAATCTCTTGCGTGTTTGTCACAGCAACTACTGGAAGATCGAAGACATTGCCGTATGTATGGCCGTGGGATAATATGTTTGAAGGAACAATGTGGAATTCTGCATTTAGACATTCATTCATTTCTGACGTAAATCGTTGAAGGTCTGGTTGGTTTTGATAGTGAGATTATGCACTGGGCAATTGTATTCAACATTCACCGCCACCGATGCTATCACCGTGGCTTAAAATCAGCGAAACTCGTCCGCGAATTAAAAATGGCGATAATGGTTTTTACGTTGACTAGAGCGACAATTTTTGGAAGTTGGAAGACTTGTATCATCGGCAACATTACCTGGTTATAGAAGAAGCTTTTTTAAAATTTATTTAGAGGAATAACGGTCCCCCTATAAGCCACATTTTACAACAGTTCATTTTCCAGCATTGTTGTCAGCACAGGAAAGTGCATAACAGCTTGTGCAGGTCAATATTGTCTCGCTCGTAAAGCATGACAAGGAAACAAATGTCTATCGCCTGTCGATTGAACAACTAGTGACTCTCTCAGAACAGTGTCTCAGTTGGTCAAACTTCAGGTGCTCATGAAGGTGTTTTAAACAAATGACTGAGGGATGACTGTGGAAGGCGGATGGCAGAAGACCTTGCTACCGCTTTTACGTCTAAGGCGGAAGCTGTCTCAATCACCGACATTTACTCTGTTGTCGATATATAGACAGCTGCTTCATTGTCTGTTCCACACAAGACTAGATAGACAAGTGTTTCAAATTGTTAGATAGAAAGTAAAGTACATAAAATTCACACTAGGAAAATCATTCGAAAACTGGCTCCCATTCTTAAATATACAAATAAATCTTACGCCATGCCACTTTGAGGTAGAGTCACTCGTGGCCAACCTATTTCATACAAGAGTGATAAGTAGAGACTCAAGTAATTCAAATTAGTTTTGAGAGCTGAGTGACCATTCCATATCTGTAGAGAGCTGTGCATTGATGAAGATTAAGCACCATGTTCTAGGTCAGGAAAGGCACCTCCTTAGCAGGAGCTGTTACACGAGTCTTCCTTTGCGTAAGTTCTTTCTAAACAGTAGGGTTAATTTTATCGGCAGCTATAGGAAAAAATAGAAAAAGAGTTTCCAAGCAAGTTGTCCACGAAATCTAAGGATGAGACCTGCTGAAAGTCTCAAACAGCGTCTTTCAAACATCCACGTTTTACCCGTTGTAAGTACCCCAACTGGTTGATGGAGAGCAGTCGCATAGAGTAACACGTAGGCGAGGAATGAGCCTTGGTCAAGTAGTGCAATCGGCATGATGGTAGGCGCGAGTTCTGATAACTGTTCCAAAAGATAAACTGCGTTGAATCCCACTGGTGGTTGCGTACTCCGTAAACGGAGAGCCATGGCGAAAAGTCCTTCCAAGTGTCGAACAAGAAAGTTTCCAGAGTCTCTTCACCAATCACATATTCTAAGCTGCATAGCCTCTTCAGAAGCAACACTTTCTCTTCGCGAAATCTACTTATCAAAAGGATATTTTTCTTTAAATTACTCTCTGTGGAGAATACCTTTTTATGAGCCACGTCGAACATAACATCTCTGTTGAATATTATATCGACAAAGTGCAAAAATGTGGTGAAAAACTTATGTAAAGTGAAGTATTGTAGAGCCAACAAGAGCACTCGAGACTGTTTACATAGCTATAGTTCACTTTGCCTGCGGCGATTGTACTGAATCTTGGAACAAAAATGATGATTTCGTTGGATGCGACACGGGCACAGGCCACAGAATGTAGTCAATGGGCGTTCCACATCGCTTCAGCAACTTTCGGCTCAATTTGGCAGCCAAAATATGATAACTGAAAAGTAAGAACAACACTATATCTCAATTTTTCTTCACTCTTTACTGTTTATTTATGCCTATCTACGATATATGCCTTGAGATGACTTGAGTGAGGAAACCGCTATGAAAAATGTGGACAACAAAGACGTCTGTACTTAGTGCAAAATGATTGGTCTTGTGTTGTGCCAACCATATCACAATCGGAACTTGACCACCTTGCGGCAACAATATCATCGGCATAAACTAAGTGGATAGACCGAGTGACTAAGCAGTAGCCGGTTTTCCAACCCAATAATAATAGAGGAAATTCAGTGTTATGCCACAGATGGATTCGCATGGTTTCGATTCTGTCCTATTTGAGCTTCCCATCAGCATTTCGTAGTAGACTTGTCTGTGAGGATAAAAACACAGTCTTCACATTTCGGTAAGAAATCGCAAATCATTGGTCAGACATATTCTCCATCACTTCACGATGATTGACATCGATTGCGTGGCATCCCTTAGGAAACCATCAACACCAAACGATTTTGTGCAACGCTCCGACTTCATGAAACCAGACAGTGACCTTGCATACCGCACACTGCATCTGACTTTTTCCAAAAAGATGACTCCTTTCACACTGAGCATCTAATTGCAGGCTTTGATAAATTTATAGGGTTTCTACATTTTCAGGTGACAACTGAAGACATTGTGAGAAACCATAAAGCTTAAATGAGTCTGCCTCATGAATCGTACTAACTCCAGCACTACCTTCTTAGGATAGAAGGATTATTATAAAACTCCAGAGCATTCATATAGAGTTTTGTAGCAACCATAAAAGTTTTCAGGATCGACTTTCTATTAACCTCGGCATTAGAATATGAATGCGTCGTTTTCTTGTTCAGCAATCGCGAGGTTTTTAAACAGCATGCATTTACTTNCATAGAAGAACACAATACAATACAACACTAGCTGACGTTTCGGCAGTATCGCCTTCTTCAGACTTCAGAATTTACGTGACTTCCAATAAGGAAGTCTAGAACAACTGATTATAGTCGCATATGGTTGATGACTGCATCATCCCACCAACTATAATCAGCGGTTCTAAACTTCCTCATTGGAAGTCACGTAAAAAGCGGCTCTGAAAAAGGCGATACTGCCAAAACTTCAGCTAGTGTTGTATTGTATTGTGTTTTTCTATGGAAGTAAATGCTTGCTGTTTAAAAACCTCGCGATTGCTGAACAAGAAAACGACGCAACCATAACAGTTAACATGACCTGAGCTTAACAAGCAAATCTCAGCCTTAATTGATCGAGAGCCTTTCAACTAGATTTTCACCAGAAAGAGATGGATTTCCTCGCAAGTATGATCACGAAAAGGTGAGTCGAGCCCGTTCCCATACGGTTAACCTCACCTGGAAGATGATTGACTAAAGGGTGTGGTTCAGCACTTCAACAAAACATTGGCTCGTTATATAAGTATGAAGTAATTCCACAGAGAATATTTGAATGACCCATTCTCAAAAGCAACGGAGAATTGTGCGAGTTTCAGCGCAGTTTCTACTTCAGAGAAGGTTGTGTGATTAAAGAAATTTCTTCAACCTATTACCAGGACAACGATGAATCTTGTCAATAACTAGCTCCATTCTCGGAATATTGAATGGGAAACTGCGTTGGAAGCGCGCCATAACGCAGTTAGACACCCACGAGTACCACAAGTGCAACCATGATAAGGCAATAGATCTTTGGTGAAACAGTTTTTCCAGAGATGTGTTCCTTGAAGTGTTTTTTTACTAAGTAAGTTTGAGGCAATTTGCAGCCAGTTGGCGATTCCACAGGCTTTGTGTGCTTACTATTTTAAGGGCATCAAATCACATCAATTCGCCAACGTGCCCGGTTTAGATACTTAATGTGAAATGAGAAACCATTGAGACACAACTTGATATTTGACACTTTAACGGCCAGTCCTTACTGGTTGTGCGGGCCTCAGCATAATCACCAATCATCGGAGATTCGCTGGTTAGGCCATTGAGGTTTTCTGAAATCCCGAGGCCGACGTTTGAAAGTCTGTCCCAGGTCTTCACCACCACGAGTAGTCGTAGCCCTTGTGGATCAGAGAAAGATTCGCCACCATGCGGCTTTGATACCAGGGCGGTGGTGGATTCTGGTATTGGTTTACTCTTAGTTAAGCTTTCTAATGGAAGCTCAGGACTCCTTCTCGGCTTGGTAGACCCTACTGGTGGGATGAATCCTCCCGCTGTGCATTGCACCACGACATCCAGAAACACCATCCAGCCACGAGGAGGCGGTAAACCGTTGTGAGGAGCCACAACAGGCAAGTGCAAAAGCCTCTTGTCAAACTAGTGAAGTCCACCTTCAAATTTCATGAGTCCGCTTGACTCCTTCAAGCATAATTTTAGTAACCCGTACTTAAGGAATACAAAATTTAAACATCTTCATACTGTTCGCACATAGTATTGATTAATTATTGTCATATACACGAAAAATAATGATAGTGTGGAACCAGAAGCAAAATGCTCAAAGTTCGATCGAAAACACATTATTTACGATCATATCAGATCAACAGCCTCTTCTGCTTCGTCTTCGAGTGTTAGCTGATCTCTGGTCTCATAAACCACACATTTCGCATCTCCCCACTTGATCTGAATAACGACAGCGTTAGCCGATATCAATTATACTCTTCGAGAAAGACAAAATTGTTTAATTGTCAAAATTTTAATCACACAAATTTTTTATATCATACATAATACCCTGCCGTAAAAAATTTTAAAAGGCAGTAAATAGAAAATTAGCATTGTGATTCCGATTAAGCTTCAGCTTAATAGGGTTCCTTGCCGATTTGGGATCTCCAGATTAATCCTGCTGGCGTGTGATTGCTGATGGCACTGCTCAACAAAACTAGCTAAGAGAGAGGCGAAACGAAGGACCCAGATGGTGTGGTGGTGAACGCGTTAGCCCCGGAAAGGGTAGTAGCGAGTGCGTTTTCTACCGCAGACACCAGTGGTCCAGGGTTTTGTAAATATCTCAGCGCTATTGTAGTTAAAATTTTAAATTATCCACTTGCCAAAAAACAATATTATCTCCTTCATTGACCAAAACTGAAGAAGAAAATACATGGCAGTAGTCACGTGGTACAACAACACGAAAAATTGAGCAAAGTGTGCTTATTGGATTATAGCATGGGTAAATCTCTACCGTCCTGCGAGATTGATGACGATGTCGGGATTTACATTAAAGAAGACAAAGATTTTTTTTCGTAGAGTTTTGTAATACATCCGAGGCAACATCCACATAATTCTTTACATGATTGAGCTTTTTCTGAGGATATAAAATCGCTGACCCCTACTTTAAAAGCATTCTTGTCATCCCGCTCTTCGGTGTCTTCCCGAGTTTTCATCGCCTCATCCAAGACTGTACGTAATTTCATCTTTGTCGGAACCTGAATAATATGTTATAGCAGATTTTTTCACCTTATTATTGTTATAATCCGACATGGGAAGCCACTTTTTATGCATGAAATAAAATATGTTCTCACGCAATTTAAACCTGACGATTCCTAAATGTCAACAGTTTACCTATATTCAAGGTTTCCGATGCATAAATGACAAGACACTCACATGAGGTGCGTCATCGATATTACCTCCTTTCTTGACAAGCCGTGGGTGGACCACTGTATTCGATTCCGCAGCTTTCATCACATAATCGTTCAAGTCAACCTAAACAGACTTTTCAACCATGCTCTTTTCACACAATGACTGACTAGCAAATTCAATGTATTCAGGATTATCAGTGAAAGGATGCACAGCACTGGGTCAACCAAACACTTAACATATAGGTTTTCCATCCGATATTCTCATCTACGATTTCCAACCAGTTTGTTTTCGATGTTTCTTTGGTTGTTAAATCTCCAACATTTATCGATTCACTTAGTGATCAGTAGATCACTGTATCAACAGTTCAGTAGCAATATCGGGTGCTCGTGTTTACCACCTAACCACGTGGAAGTCTACCTTGTTTTCGCCGGGACAAACTCAAACTTGAGTAACTAAATTTGTGTGTGACCAATAGAAAGATAACAATATAGCAAAAACAGCAGATGGAGTGCAGTTATAAAAGCGTTAAAAAACAACTTCAATACCTCAATGGTACAGAACTACGTCTACCTACTGTTGCAGCTATTTAAGTTCGTTAGAACCAAGAAAAAAGCGAATAGAGGTGACGAGGAGGACTTCCAATTAGGTAGCGATCCTTATAAATCATCTAGAATGATCAGAGCTTACGGTAAAGGTTGTGGTTCTTTTCTATATAATGTTTTTATTAATGCACAGGCTACGCAAAAAGACATGGGACAAAATTTTTCGGTCAGTAGCGAACACATAAGATAAGTGTTACGAAAGGGCGCTTATGGCGCAGATCGCTGTTGTCGGAGGCGCTCTGCAACACACACGTGGAATCACTCTCCGCGCCCATGGCTCACTAAGCTTTCCATCCCTACGGGGCTGGCAAATTGATACTAGACTCAATACATCAGTAGGCCACCGCGAGTCATTGTGAAGGACAGATATGCATTCAATCACCTCCAAATGATACTTAATGAAGTCGAATGCATGGCGCATCCCTGTGGGATTGATCAACGCCGAAAGCTTTATCCTTTACGCTTAAAGTTTTAGGAATTAATTTTCGGCTAATGCTAGAAAAATACATAATACCAATAAGATTAAATATATACTCTGTGAGGTACAGAACAACCTCCATAGTCTATGCGTTTACGTGATCTACAAACAAGAAACAATCGATTAGCGCATTGTTGTAGAGTTGGCTTGAAATTGTTGTCGGTTCGACTTCGCACAATCCTTCTATCGTAGATAAATTGATGCAGAACATGCCTGAGATCACAGGAACACTGACTTATATCGATGTGCTATTGCAATCTACTTCACGGCGAAATTATGAATCCAGCCACCACAACTTGGTTCAATTCAGCTGAAAGCCCCGCGCTCCCTTAAAGGATAAATCAATGTCGATTACTTTTTTTAACTATTGCCGGCAGTCAATCCCCACATTACTGTTAGTCCAGCGATAGATGAAACATGAGCTCACGGCATTTTTGTTGTACATCTTGTTTTGCCTTCTCATCATTTACTCTCATCATCGCAGTCCAAGATAAAAATGGAAGTCATCTTTTATGCTCGTTTATGACAGCAGTAACTGCTAGAAGGCAAAAAATATTATCAAAAACACCAAGATTTTGCCACTAGGCACCGTCTTGCAGATTCATTTCCTTTCAACCTAGCGGTCACCGCTAATTTTTCGTTAATACCCAACTGGAAACGGCCCAAATTACTGCATGACAGTTATTTTTCAGACGATTTTTTTTACTAAGCTCACATCAGTAGGCGGTCTCTTCGTTGTTTCTTCTAATGAGGTTTCTTGTGTTTTCGCCATTTCCACATTTCTAAAGAAACAATGCGAGAAAGGAATGCAAGCGATAAGCATGACTTGAGTTAAGTTCTGATTGGGACACGTTAAAGAAACTTGGTAATATGATTTTAGGTGCAAAAGTTAGTGAAAGTAGAGAAATGCTCCGAATTCTCAAAAAAAGATATTGGTACTATTGCAAGCATAAGGCTTTGGCTAAGCAATACGCATCTCGCTCGCAGAAACGTCAAACTACTTGAGACGCTTCACTCTTCTCGACTAAAAGAACTATGAAACCATGAACACTCACGTGAACTCAATATCGTTCTTCCCTATCGTTTGCGTTGTCTTCACCATTTTCTTCGAATATCTGTTCTCAGTCTTCTTGATCTCGCTTTTCAACGGCTGGGTTTCTTTGCTTTCTATCTTGCCGGTAACATTCCCTAATGTAGATTTAGCTGGGCATTTTTTAGCGCAGTCTTCTGTGTTCCATGGCTCTGTCTAGAAATTGCGGCATAAATTGCATGATTTATATGACTTTAATCATCGACCTTCTAATATGCCTACTAACACGTGGTTTTACGAAGCATAAATGATTCACTTCTTTGGACTTCACTAATTAGCGCTACTGAGATTTTGCCACAATTTTTGAATTCAGCCGGCATTTTATTCAACATAGATGTTTTCGCAGTAGTGCTTCATGAAACACTATGCTCTAAATCTAATAATTCAAAAAATAACATCTTTTCGAACCTTGTTGGTTTAGCCGTTGCAATTCTCAGGAGTACGAAAACAGCCTGACCAAAGTCTACTCGAGGTCGTCATCACCACAGGCAGTTGCAGCCGTTGTCGATCAGAGGGACATTTGCCACCATACGGCAAATTTGATACCAGGACGGTGGTGATCCTGGTATTGGTTTACTTTTTGCTGGGCTTTCTGATGGAAAAGTCGGACTACTTCGCAGCGTAGGAGACCTTGCCAGAGGATGAATCCCCCGCTGCCAATCGCAGCTCTGCACCCAGGATCACTTCCCAGCCGCGATGAGGAGGTAAACTGTTGCGAGGAACATCCTCAAATATAGGTGATAGTACAGTGCATATAAATGTGATAAACTATTTTTGAAATAAGTCGTAGAGCCAGCTATCTAAGAATGGCAGCACCGTGGTTGGATGTCCAACGAGTTTGTCTTCCGTTTTTTTTAAAAGTGAGAGGATGAAATGTTACAAAAAAAACGTGGCAACTTACAGAGAACGCTGTATGTAAAATGAAACTACAAAGCCCCCAACAAAATGTGTAGTTGAGCCGAATTGTTGAGTGGTGTTCTCGTATAAAAACTCATTTTTGTTGCTTGGGAAGAGGGAGGACACAATGGACGCTATGAGTCACAACTCGTGGAGCGCGCAGTGATAGGTTATTCCTCGACGCGGCGTTAACGAGAGCGGCGATCTTAATTCCTGCTAAAATGATAAGTTCGCTAAACAGAACCTGACTCGTTCTACTCTCCACGACAGTGCTTTTTGGTTCAACGTCATTCTGTAATACGAAAGATAAATCTATTTTTTTAACAATTCCGATCTATTTTAAATGATTGAGTAAGCGCCAACGTTTCTCATTTGTAAGCCACGCTAATTTATGCGGTCAAGCACAAAGAATACGTATTGACTAGGACTGCTGGTTTATCAATACAAGCACATGAAGCACTCCACTCATGTATACTGATTTTCTAAAATAGTAATACCTTTTTTAGTGTCTTCCTTATACATACAGAGGTAATTGTGAGTAAGGCAATCCAGCAAAAGTACTGAGTGAAAGTAAGGAATTCCCCTAAAAAAATGATACGAGTGATTAAATAACTAATGAAAGATACGGGATAGAGCGTTCGACGTTGTTCATTCCTTTGAGGATGTGCAATACTTTCGACTTCATCCGAAGCGTCGTAGAGGTGATGGAATACATATTGGACGCATCAAATGTCTTATGAGGGCCCTATCAGTGCATGAAGTCATTATTTTTACCGTTCCAGATTAATATGCTGCTAATCTGCAGACTCCAGATGAACGAATGCTTAGTAACATAGGCTTTGTGTGTGGCTAGGGACCTAAGAAGGAACCAATGTTCATTGTTTATTAGATATGTTTATTGCAACACACCTTCGATCACTATGCCCTGCCCACCCTCTAATCCATTAATAAATGAATTCAGATAATCTTAACCCTTTTATTTATTGCCTTTTTTTTAATGGCCGGGTATGTTGCGAAATATAACTCGTATATAATGCTGAGATATTTGCAAAACACCGGACCTCAGGTGTATGCGGTCCGGTGTTTTGCAAATATCTCAGCATTATATATGAATACACATATTTTTTCTTGTTTTGGTGTCATGAAATCGTCGATGGTGACTAACCAGAAAGGCTGAATAAAGCAATAAAGCACTGACCATAAACCGAATGAGTTATGTTCAACTGCCTACCCATCCTGATGGCGTACTACAAATGAAGACACGCTTTACAATATCTGAGAAATAATATTAAAATAACGAAGTCAGAACAGTAAAAAATAAAAGTCATATGTAACTCAACAAAACAATGTTCGTTATCAAATGCATAACCTTTCCGATTCTATGCTCATTCTAGCAGTTGATTTTGGGTGTATCAAACAACGCTGGACTATGCGAGAACAACGACAATGATGCTGAGATATTTGCACAACTTCTGCCTTAATCCACCCACCTTCCTCCGAACAACTCTCGAACCCAATGGTGGATTCGGAGAACACATGAGCTTCCGGAAAGTATAATCGCTCGTTCAAATCTAGACTAAGGCGCAGGTTTTCCAAATATCTCAGCAGCATTGTGGTTTCATCTCGCATAATACTCTGCCGTAAAAATAATAGGTAGTGAATAAAAAGTTAAATATTATGATAGAAAGTAGAAAGCCTTTTTTATTAGGTTAATTGCACCTGTACTAGTAAATTCCAGTAATGTATTCGTTTACTCCACTGGGTACTCGACTCTTTGAGATCGTCCAACAATCAATCCCGGGTCTATACACAGCTCTTATGAAGTGCACCTATAAGACCTGTTGTTGCTGAGCTGACACAAAAAAGGAGAAAAATAAATGACAGATCGTCATTTTTCTAACCTCGAAATATTCCTCAACAGAGAAGTCTTAGATAGGAAGAATAAAGGAAGGTCACTAAACCTTCTATTAACTGTTACGATGATCTGTACTTTTAACATACATGTGCTCTGCTAGCACATTATGCTTTCACTATTGCTGCAAGACAAGAAAATTGAACGCGTTGTCTGACCAACGAGAAGTTGTCACTCACTGGTGTAGCCTAAGAACTGGCAGAGTTAATGTCTTCAGCAAGTTTGCCGATGTTAATCAATTTATATGAACAGCTAATTACTCGAATAAGGCTCCTATGCTTACAAAGATGAAGGTTCTTTTACAGTCATTGTCGCATGCACGCTAACACTAAACTGCTACAGAGATACGATTGAGTTCATCTCGCAACACGGGAATGAGAAGTACTGCAGATATAATCATATTTTTCACAAAGCCAAAATAATAGAAGAAAACTCTATATCAAAACCGATTAAATAAGAATAACCTGTATCATCTGTAGTCCCGTTGGCAGTCTAGAGACTCGTGCAGGCGTCGGTAAACCTTCCATTTTTCCTTTTCGTGGGTAAGAGTAGTCTAGTGGATCCTGCTCGATCTAGTGACTCATAGTGATAGTGAGTGACATCGTACCTTTTCTCCAGAAATTTTGTGAAAAACTCTGACTATCAAACCGGTAGTCTTCCTGCAGTACGTTTTACAACCCGAGAAAACCAGTGAACGACATTTGTCTATTGGTTTCCGTTCATACACCTTACGTGTCTTCTCTTCACCACCTTTTCTTGGACTGTTTAGCGTACAAAATGGCATCATCTCTTTTTGATCGCTGATAAAGGCTGGAACTTCGCATCGCTTCCCTTACTTCTGTGACGTGGGATACTCCAAGAACCGTGCTTTCGAATGAACGTTCAATAATGCTGAGCTATCTTTCATGGTGCTTACGCAGTGACCACGTTTCCGACGCATGTGCTGAGGCAGCAACTACCACAGAGTCGAAAACGTGGGCACGGAATCAGGTGTTTTTTGTTTTTTTCAGATGCTTTTAAAAGCAATTCTTCGTGTTTTTTTAGCAAACGTGAGCTGTTATTTTCATTCTTTATTCGCGAATAAGCTGACGTTTCGGCGAATTTCGCTTTCCTCAGAGCCTAGAAAGGTCAAGTTGACAGCAATCTATTCGACCACGCACCTCCATAACCAAAGAGAGAAACGCTAAACCAAGATTTCAATCACATTAAACACAGAATAGCTTTTTTGCCCACTTACCGCATTCTATGAGTCTTCCACTGAGTACGTCACATGGAGGCCAACAGCACAGAATTCACATAGAAGCGTAGTGTGCTTCTCCCATCAGAATAACAGGCCTATATACTGCCCAATATCACGCGTGATAATGAGGTATTCCTTCTTTCTGTTTATTTTTGGATTTCTGGAATTAATCCGAAACGCCTAGAGAGTCTTGCGCACTTGTGTTCTCGATTCCTGTGCGAGGATCGTGACGCGTACTTCAAAGTCCTCCCCGCTATGTCTCTGGGTCCTATGCGTGCGTAGTGGGGTATATGGTTTATGTTTGCCAACTAGGAGTTCCTTTATGCGAACACAGAGTGGCCTACCCGTTTCGCCAATATATTCGTCCTCGCACGCCTTACAGGAGATGAGAAAAACTGTATACCCGAACTAATGCAATCACCGTCTCCACCATTAGAGCAAATTATGCAATAGCTTTGGTAGGTCCTCAACTTGGTGTTGTTTGCAACTATTTTGCGTTTCATCTCTAGCTTTTTTGCAGAGTTTATCTTAAAGCTCATGTAAACTCCCTGACGGTACGCGGTCGTTATTACAATTGGGACCGAGTTTTCATCTGAACCCATTTCTAAAGGGGTCGTATGTAGTGACCGATCTCGGGCCGTTACTCTACTGTAGCTATATAGATGACTGTTTTGTCCCCCCATGAAGAAATGGACAAATGTTTCGTTGCTGAATGAACAGTCAGACTATCAAGTTCACCCGAGAGAAACCGAAGGAAAATTGGCTTCCATTTCTGAACGTCCAAATTAACCTGCCAGAAAATGGCTACATTACGAAGTGGTCCCGAAAGCTAAGTATTAAATTCATCTTGGTTCATTACCTCTCCTCTCACCCCTTTCAGACAAAAATGGTGCTTGTAGGAAACATGTTTCGAACAGCAACCAACGTGTGCACGAGAAGAGAGCAGAGAGGGGAGTCCCTGAATTTGGAAAGGCAAATAGCCATTTCTAATAACTACGAAACTGTAGCTCGGGATAGGTGTAGAAAAAATCCTGTGCCCATAAACGACAGCTCTAACAATGAAAAGGTCCCGTTTATCCTACCCTTCATCTCAAATGATGTAAGTGCAGCTATAAAACACTGCATAAAAAAGGTGAGTCTAAAAAATTCGGTAAACGTAGTTGAATTGTCACCGAGTACTCTTAGGCGCCAGCTAGTTTGTAACCGTGTATATTACCGTCTATGTGCAACGCAAAATTGCATAATTTGTCCTAATGGTTAAGACGTGACAACATGGGCTGGGGTACAGCTTATCTGATCTCCTATAAGGCGTGCGGAGACGAATACATTGGCGAAACGGGCGAACCAGTCTGTATCCGTATAAAAAAGACACCTAGATGGCAAATGTAAACCAAATACCCTACTAGGCACGAACAGGACCTAGAGACATAACGAGAAGGACTTTGAAGTACGTGTTACGATCCTCGCACAAGAATCGAGAACAGAAGCGCTCAAAACTCTCGAGGCGTTCTGAATTAATTCCAGAAATCCGAAAACAAACCGCAGGAAGGAATGCCTCACTACCAGGCGTGGCATTGGGCAGTATATAAGCCTGTTATTCTAATGGAAGGAGCAGATTACGCATTCATGTGAGTTCTGTGCGGTTGGTTCACGCGCGATATACTCAGTGGAAGCCTCATATAAAGCGATGAGTGTGCAAAGAAGCTATTCTGTGTTCAATGTGATTGAAATCTTGGTTTAGCTTTTCTCTCGCTGGCTATGGAGGTGCGTGGTCGAGTAGATAGCTGTCAACTTGACCTTTCCAGGTTCTGAGAAAAGCGAAATCCGCTGGAACGGCAGCTTTTTCGTAAATAAAGAATAAAAATAACAGCTCACGTTTGCTCAAGAAGAACACGAAAAATTTCTTGATTAATGTCGAGGTTAATAGAAGTCGGTCGTGGAATCTATTAAGAGACGTATCAGCTCTTAGAAGCTCCCCAAGCAGCTCGTTTCCTTCTGCTTAAGTCCGATGCTAATTTGTCAATCATATTGATTTTCCGACGTAGACAGATAACTGGAGTATTCAGGGATATCGGGGATACGCGTTTCGCATGATGAGGCAGGTCTAGCCAACCTGCGCTTCATAAGCATCGTTTTTGCGATATTTAGTCGAAGACCAACTTTGACACAAGCTTTATCAAACCCGACAAGTTTCGCTCGGCTTAACTAATGTTTAATTCTATAAGAACGATGTCATCAGCAAGGCCAAGATGGTGCAATTGCCGACCATCAATTTTCACTCCCATGTTCTCCTATTCCAGTGTTCGCATGACATTCTCGTGGGTGGCAGCAAATAATTTTAGTGTGATGGTTTCTCCTTGCCTGGCCTCTCTTTTGACGTCCATGTTGATACCCTTGTAGAATGGTGATACTTTGTCTGTGAAATTTTTATACAGCTCACGAAGAATATTTAGATAGTGAGTTGGGACTCCCTGAGTGTTCAGGACTTCCACGACTGCTTCTATCTTACTTCAGTCAAAGGCCTTGTTAAAATCAAAGAAAGTGAGACAGAGCTGTCTTTTGTACTCTCGTGTTATTTCAGTGAATCTTGTTAACGTGTGGATGTGGTNCTCTGCTTGCTCACATTGCTGTCCTTCGTCTGGTGTTTTGTCAATCTTGCTTAGGACAACCCACATTCAGCGCTGAGGGTGGGGCTTCTGGAATTGCGAGTTACCATGGATTGCGTTGGTCGCCATGATAAACTCAGACAGCCGCTCACCCTGTTCGTTCCATTTTAATCCGTGGGTCTCAATGTGGCGCTCTTCAGACGTTTTTCTTGGTCCAATCTTGGCGTTAAAATCTCCAATGATGATCTTGAGGAATGTATAGGTTTCTCTGTAAAACTTCTCCGTGTCCATATAAACGCTTTGACTACTTCTTCGTTATAATTTTATGCCTGCACGTAAACGACGAAGATTTTCAAAGCCAGTATTGATCCACATGCCATCAATCGCAAACGTCCCATTTGGATTGTTAGTTGTTCGAATGGATGAATGTTCATGGCCAAAGTCCTTTTGAGAAGAACGCCGTCACAGGAAGTCTGCTTTCGTCGCATGTTCTGAGGAACAACTCTTCTCCAATGTCACAGACGGCATTGGTTGGGTGTCGCCTTGTCATCTCAGCTGGCCCAATTAAGTCATACTTTTCTTTTTGCCTACATGATTAAGTCCTCTATCGAGGACTCAGATGCAAATGTGCATGCATTGTAGGTATCGATCGTCACCTCAGTCTGTTGCGATCTAGGCAACTTAGAATGGCGATGAGATTTTAGCAGCCTCTCCGCACTCGTTCTACACAACGCTGCCGAATCGGGGTTCCTTGCTGTAAGAGAAGTGAGGTCCGTTTCTTTTACTGTGTTTAGCTTTTTGACGTTGCAAGACTCTGCCAATGCGCAACATTACAACTCTCTTATTGGCATAAACTTGGTGAGGCTGCTCATTCTGATTACCTTATAGTCTTGAAGGTCATGGAAGAAGTGGCTTCTGTCAGCGCCGACAGTGTTTGTGTCACAGCGTGTTACTACGGAAGCTACAGCAATCAGTAGAACTTGTATATAATGCTGAAATATTTGCAAAACTTCGGACTGCAGGTGTATGCGGTAGGGAATGAACCCGCGCTGTTGCCCTTACCGTGGAGCAGCGCACTTCACCACCACACTATCAGAGTCCTTCGTTTTGCCTGTCTCTCAGCTAGTTCTGAATGAGTAGAGCTGTTTTCATCTTTAAACGTCCTTACTCATGAGTTTAATATAGAACGGGGCTTTGAAAAAAAAGGTCAGCGCAGTTAACTTTTTGCATCACAGCTCATTGCCAAATTTTTCCAAACCATGACAAGCGTGTTTGAGATTGATATTATACTAATATCATTATGAATATGAGTAGAGTATGAAATCTTATATTTACAGGTCTTCATAAATACAAGTCATCTTGTGCACCTGACCAACTCTTTTAAAACAACGGTTTGAGTCTCTGTTTCCGACAATTTAAGCTTGTTCGAATAAAAAACCGGGTAATCGAAGGTTCTACGCGTTGAAAGGATGTTTAAATACTTTCCAGCTTATAAGTTTAAAAGTTATCGAAACTTTTTAAAAACATATTTCGAAACTGACTTTCCTTGAACCTCGGTATCACTAATCAATATGTATTCTTTCTTTGATGAGCTTACACGAGGTTGATAATGATGTTTATTTTCGGCTAACGTTTCAACGTCTTCGTCTTCCCTAGAGCCGATGATCCGAGTCAAGTGGTCCTCGCTTGTTATTAAAGTTTTAAGTCTTAAAGTCGGTTTCGAAATATAACTACGCTTTGTGCTAGCTGATAATAACGCCGACTTCTGCACGATGTGCGCGATGATTATGTTCGGAAGAAATACAAGCTGTTACCACCGGACATTATCATTATATCCACCATCAGCATCGTGTATAAAAGGGCATCACCGAGTGAGGATGCCTCATTCGAGGAGGTGGCTCACTGAAGAAGACCAGACTCGACACGAAGGCGAAGCTGCCA